CTTCGTTACCGGTCGCTTAGGTTACCCTTCATTGTTTATCGTTGCCGTTTTCCATTGAACACTCAATCACCCTCAGATCATAATGGTCAAGTTAGGCGGGCAGACCTAAGGACCGGATGGACGGTATTCGTTGCTCACCGGAATCAATCTAACCGAATGCCGCAGGTATTATTTGATAAGACCATGCAACACTTCTATTCTCTACATGAACAAATACTTTATTCACGTAAGATATTTTTTGCGCTATTACCACTCTCAGCTTCCCACCGCTTCCGTGCTGAGTGACCAGACGAACAGACACAAGTGGAGGGTGATTGGGAAAAGTGAAAACAACTTGTTATGTCTGCCAGTCTATCCAACGATTCTATTAAAAAGACAATGACAAAACAGTGGGTATGCGCTTACTGAAAGCGCCAGAAAAGTGAACTGACTAATGGAAAACCGTGCTATATTTAAAGAGTTGTACAGTCTAGATTTTTCCCGAATGGAGACTACGAGAGCACCGATGGAGGCCATAGACCTATCGGATTACTGGACCCTGCCCGTTAGCCTGGACCCCCACGGATCAAGTGATGCCGGAAAAACATGGACAATTTTTCATGGTGGTGACCGGTCCAAACTCACTCACTTCCCATTGATATAATCCGTGGGAAAACTAGGTTTCCCCCAAACACAACTGCTGGGAAAACCCTGAAAGATGTGTGTTTTGGTACAGGATGAACTGATGCCCCCTGGCACGTTGCAGTCAACGTCAACCACTTAGTTTTGACGATTCCATAAAGTTGCAAGATGAGCATACACACACAGACACCTTAACCAAGTTCCATCCAATGATTTGCTGCGCATGATTCCAGAAAACGAAGAACGAGAAGGGAATGCGGGGAACCGAAACGGAAGTTTCCCGATCGTGAGTGAGGCTTAGACAGTCTCAGTCTATCTAGTCGAGTTGGATTACGTAGTGAAAACCAACAGAAGGAAAATATTTGCGAGCGGGATTTCGATATTGTTTTTTTTATTTGATGGTATTACATACATGAATGATAAGTCGAGTATCAGGAAAAACCAACTGGCAATGCGAAAACAAATGACCAGATGGTAGCCGAAAAACATTCACGTGACAAATTGCACCCCGGGATCACGGTGTCAGGCATTCAGCGATCGTAATTGTTGGAACACATCTTGCACTTCGGGATGGGAACCGCAAATAAACTCATCCAAATTGTCCAGATACGGAATCAGTTGGTCGCAATGCTGAACGGAAAATAGAAAATGATTGTTAATTCACGGAAGCATAATTGCATTCAGCCATAAATTTACTGAACCGGATAAGACCACACGCTTTTCGAGTGTTCACAGTGGAACTAATGAACTAGCTCATCATGGACCCGCTTTGATGGATTGATTGTCAGACCCGTAGAGAGGCAATGAGGTTAGTAGAAAGTGGAAGAAGACAACCGAATCGTCGTCGGGAATAGTTCAGCTACGCACGCAGTTGGCAGCAGCTTGGATTCACTGAGACCATCAGTGATTCAGGTGCTCTGTTGCTGTGTGAAACATTTGCTGACGGAACAACCGAATTAAATGACGCGTTTTCTGGAGAAACGAGGATGCATGATCGGACGGGAAAACAGTTGCTAGTTATTAATTACAGCCAGGAGCCGCGATTGTCCGTGATTAGCGACAGGCGATCTTTTTATTTTTACTTCCTTTTATTGAATACACATACAAATCTCGGGAAGGTGGAAACGGTCAATCAAAGAGCTGCTATGAAACACATTATGGGGAAAGCCAGGCAGCGGTGGTGGTGGGATTCGATTACATCCGCTGGGGTAATAATTTGGTGGAATTACCATCAGACCACTACCGCCCGATAGCCGAACAGGGACTCGAACTCCGATGCTCTACCGATTAAGCTATCTGGGAGCGACAACCATCAGGTATAGTTCACCAGAATGCACAAGATTACAAACTGGAGGATAGCATGACCTTGTGTTGAAAACAATGACGCCCTTGGCCTATACCTATTTGAAATATATATTGCAGTATTTTCCGATATTTTCACTTTTGGTTGAGATTTATTACTAGCTGCCCTCCTCCACCCACCCCCTACAAATAGTGTTTTTATGGAGTGCATCCGTCGACACATCTGATGAGGAGGTCCCATGAATCACCTTATTATGGCAAAGACGGTTGCCCCAAAATGATCCAACAAAAAGTCTATATCCAGGAGTAAGTCTATGCACTTACTCACTGCATCAGACTAATGACCTAGCACAGTTTCCACTACATGCCTTGCAAGAGCATGATTAGAAACCACCGGAAATAATCGTTCGGTTAGTGACTCGTTTTCTCGATGCTATTAATGACATATTCAAGCTTTGGGGGATCGTCTAACGAACTATGTGGGCAGTGAATTGAATTTTCCTAAGCAAATGATTTGGACAGAACGGACCGGGAACAAAAGCGGCCGAACAGATTTGTGAATCGTGCACACTCACCTCGAGTACAACTTGTACCAGGCGCCCCTTTAACCAGAAGGCTACGTGTTGTAACGCTCGTTTAGATAAACCCAAGTGTTGACCAGCATCATGCAACAGAGCACTAGATCGAGGCGTGTAGGGAAATCCGGGAGCAGTTCCAGGCGCGCCGGGTGCCCCGAGCAGTTCATGATCATCCACCAAAGCTGAAGCCACTTCGGACGTAAGCCGTGCATGTCGATGCAACAGCAATGTGATCACTGCACACTGGCTACGGACTGCCTCACATCGGGCCTCTTCGAGCCGCGCGACACGGCTTCCAGACGGACCTTTCGAGCCAAAGCCAAGCACGGCCACATCATCCTCTTCCGCGTCTTCGTCTTCCAGGTTCAGCTCGTCCTCGGATGAGACCAATTCACAACCGGCCATCAGATCTCGACGATTTGACCGGGACTTGGACCGTTTGTCACGAGCACGATCCGCGTGACGTGACGAACGAGCATTACGATCGTTTCTATAATGTCCGTTATCGTACGCATCATCCTCGTCCTCATCTCGTGCATTTCCATCGCGACCGCCGGGGCTTGACGAGCGAGACTAAAATAATGCAACGGAAAACGCAATTCGAAAAAAGATGAGAAACTGTTGGGTAAACTCACTGATCCAACCAAACGAGATCTGAATATTCGCGGTTGTAAATGAACGA